CCACTACGTCATTTTCTAGGCTATTCCACTGCCTTACAACTCTGTGACTGAAGAAATACTTCCTACTATCTCTCTGACTCATTTGTGTCTTCAACTTCCAATTGTGGCCTCTTGTTTCTGTGTCCCCTCCCTGGAACATCCTGTCCTTGTCCACCTTGTCTATTCCACGCAGTATTTTATATGTCGTTATCATGTCTCCCCTGACCCTCCTGTCCTCCAGTGTCGTCAGGCCGATTTCCCTTAATCTTTCTTTATAGGACATTCCCCTTAGCTCTGGAACTAACCTTGTTGCAAACCTTTGTACTTTCTCTAGTTTCTTGACGTGCTTTATCAAGTGCGGGTTCCAAACAGGTGCTGCATACTCCAGTATGGGCCTGACATACACGGTGTACAGTGTCTTGAATGATTCCTTACTAAGGTGTCGGAATGCTGTTCTCAGGTTTGCCAGGCGCCCATATGCTGCAGCAGTTATCTGATTGATGTGTGCTTCCGGAGACATGCTCGGTGTTATACTCACCCCAAGATCTTTCTCCTTGAGTGAGGTTTGCAGTCTTTGGCCACCTAGCCTATACTCTGTCTGTGGTCTTCTGTGCCCTTCCCCTATCTTCATGACTTTGCATTTGGCAGAATTAAATTCGAGAAGCCATTTGCTGGACCAGGTGTCCAGTCTGTCCAGGTCTCTTTGAAGTCCTGCCTGGTCCTCATCAGATTTAATTCTCCTCATTAACTTCACATCATCTGCAAACAGGGACACTTCTGAGAGAGAGATACATGATTATATACACCTGGAAAATCCTAGAGGGACTAGTACCGAACTTGCACACGAAAATCACTCACTACGAAAGCAAAAGACTTGGCAGACGATGCACCATCCCCCCAATGAAAAGCAGGGGTGTCACTAGCACGTTAAGAGACCATACAATAAGTGTCAGGGGCCCGAGACTGTTCAACTGCCTCCCAGCACACATAAGGGGGATTACCAACAGACCCCTGGCAGTCTTCAAGCTGGCACTGGACAAGCACCTAAAGTCAGTTCCTGATCAGCCGGGCTGTGGCTCGTACGTTGGTTTGCGTGCAGCCAGCAGCAACAGCCTGGTTGATCAGGCGCTGATCCACCAGGAGGCCTGGTCACAGACCGGGCCGCGGGGGCGTTGACCCCCGAAACTCTCTCCAGGTAAACTCCAGGTAACCCTTCCGTGTGTGTGTGTGTGTGTGTGTGTGTGTGTGTGTGTTTGTGTGTGTGTACTCACCTAATTGTGGTTGCAGGGGTCGAGACTTAGCTCCTGGCCCCACCTGATTGCTACTAGGTCCTCCCCCTCTCTGCTTCCTGAGCTTTGTCATACCTCTTCTTAAAACTATGTATGGTTCCTGCCTCCACTACTTCACTTGCTAGGCTATTCCACTTCCTGACGACTCTATGACTGAAGAAATACTTCCTAACGTCCCTGTGACTCGTCTGAGTTTTCAGCTTCCAGTTGTGACCCCTTGTCCCTGTGTCCCCTCTCTGGAACATCCTATCTCTGTCCACCTTGTCTATTCCCCGCAGTATCTTGTATGTCATTATCATGTCTCCCCTGACCCTTCTGTCCTCCAGTGTCGTCAGTCCGATTTCCCTCAACCTTTCCTCGTACGACATTCCCCTGAGCTCTGGGACTAGCCTTGTTGCAAACCTTTGTACTTTCTCTAACTTCTTGACGTGCTTGACCAGGTGTGGGTTCCAGACTGGTGCTGCATACTCCAGTATGGGCCTAACATACACAGTGTACAGTGTCTTGAACGATTCCTTATTAAGGTATCGGAACGCTATTCTCAGGTTTGCCAGGCGCCCGTATGCTGCAGCAGTTATTTGGTTGATGTCTGCCTCCGGTGATGTGCTCGGTGTTATGGTCACCCCAAGGTCTTTCTCCCTGAGTGAGGTCTGTAGTCTTTGTCCACCTAGCCTATACTCTGTCTGCGGTCTTCTTTGCCCCTCCCCAATCTTCATGACTTTGCATTTGGCAGGGTTGAATTCGAGAAGCCAGTTTCTGGACCACATGTCCAGCCTGTCAAGGTCTCTTTGCAGTCCTGCCTCATCCTCATCCGATTTAATTCTTCTCATCAGCTTCACATCATCCGCGAATAGGGACACTTCAGAGTCTATTCCTTCCATCATGTCGTTTGCATATAAAATTAGCACTGGTCCTAGAACTGACCCGTGTGGGACCCCGCTCGTCACAGGCGCCCACTGTGATACCTCTTCACATACCATGACTCGTTGTTGCCTCCCTGTCAGGTATTCCCTGATCCATTGCAGTGCCCTCCCTGTTATATGCGCCTGATCCTCCAGCTTCTGCATTAATCTCTTGTGGGGAACTGTGTCAAAGGCCTTCCTGCAGTCTAGGAAAACGCAATCAACCCACCCCTCTCTCTCGTGTCTTACTTCTGTTACCTTGTCATAAAACTCCAGAAGGTTTGTGACACAGGATTTGCCTTCCATGAACCCATGCTGGTTTTCATTTATAATCTTGTTCCGTTCCAGGTGTTCCACCACTCTCCTCCTGATAATCTTCTCCATGACTTTGCACACAATACATGTCAGAGACACAGGTCTGTAGTTTAGTGCCTCATTTCTGCTTCCTTTCTTAAATATGGGGACTATATTTGCTGTCTTCCATTTCTCAGGTAGTTAACCAGTTTCAAGGGATGTGTTGAAGATTGTGGTTAGGGGCACGCACAGCATCTCTGCTCCTTCTCTAAGGACCCATGGGGAGATGTTGTCTGGTCCCATCGCCTTTGAGGTATCAGGGTCACTTAGCAGCTTCTGCACCTCCTCCTCGGTTGTTCGTATGTCATCCAACACTTGTTGGTATATTCCCTCTTGATGTTCCCTTCTGTGCTGTCTTCCCACAGCCCTTCCTGTCTCTACTGTAAAAACTTCCTTAAATCTCCTGTTTAGCTCCTCACATACCTCCTGATCATTTCTTGTGAGTTCTCCACCTTCTGTCCTCAGTCTGATCACCTGGTCTTTGACAGTTGTCTTCCTCCTGATGTGGCTATACAACAGTTTCGGGTTAGTCTTGATTTTCGATGCTATGTTCTTTCATACTGTTGCTGGGCCTCCCTCCTTACCTGTGCATACTCGTTCCTGGCTCTGTGACTGATCTCCCTATTTTCATGTGTTCTCTGCCTTCTGTACTTTTTCCATTCTTTATTGCACTTTGTTTTTGCCTCCTTACACCGTCGGGTAAACCAGGGGCTCGTTCTGGTCTTCCCATTGTTTCTGTTGCCCTTGGGAATAAACCTTTCCACTGCCTTCTTGCATTTTGTTGTTACATATTCCATCATTTCATTTACTGGCTTTCCTGCCAGTTCTCTGTTCCATGGAACCTCCTGCAGGAAGTTCCTCAACCCTATGTAGTCCCCTCTTTTGTAGTCAGGCTTTTCCCATTCAACTCCTGTTACTCTCTCCACTTGCAACTCTACTATGTATTCAAAGCACAGAACCACGTGATCACTAGCTCCTAGGGGACTCTCATATGTGATGTCCTCAATGCTTGAACTGCCCAGGGTGACCACAAGGTCCAATCTTGCTGGTTCATCCTCCCCTCTCACTCTGGTAGTGTCCTTAACATGTTGGTGCATGAGGTTTTCCAGCACTACATCCAACAACTTGGCTCTCCATGTTTCGGGACCCCCATGTGGCTCCAGGTTTTCCCAGTCAATCTCCCTGTGGTTGAAATCCCCCATAACCAGCAGCTTTGCTCTGCTGGAGTGAGCTCTTCTTGCCACCTCAGCAAGTGTGTCCACCATTGCTCTGTTGCTCTCTTCATATTCCTCTCTTGGCCTCCTGCAGTTCTGTGGTGGATTATACATCACTGCAATAACCACCTTGTGCTCCCCAGACTGAAGTGTACCTATGTAATCCCTTTCTCCTGTCTTGTCTATGCCTCCCATTTTCTCGAATTTCCATCGTTTTCTTACGAGCAGAGCAACCCCTCCTCCCCCTCTGCCCCTTCTATCTTTCCTCGTGATCTGGTATCCTGGTGGGAAGATTGCATCTGTTATTGTCTTCGTGAGTTTTGTTTCTGTAACTGCTATGATGTCTGGGAACTTCTCATTGATTCTTTCTTGCCATTCCTCATATTTATTCATTAATCCATCCGCATTTGTGTACCAAACCTTTATCTTCTGTTCTAATACTGTAACTGTGGTCCTGGGGGAATACTGGGGTTGGGAGAGCAGGAGCCCTGGTGGGGGCCTGTGGGGGGTTGCAGTGGAGGTGGAGGAAGAGCTCCCATAGGGGGTTGCTGTAGGGGTAGGGTTCGTGGTGCGGGGGGTGGGAACAGAGGGATCGGTGTGTGATGGTTGGTTTGGATTGTTCAGTTGCCTTGGGGGTGTCGCGGCTGGAGTCCTTCTGCAGGTTTTTCTGGGGGTGTGCTTGTCCTTCCACCTGTTCCTGGGTTATTCTGCTCTCCTTTTTCATTTCCTCCCATTCCTCCTTTCGTTTTTGCACTCTTTCAGTATCATCCTTTCCTCCTGTGTTCTGTCTCGATCGAGGTACACACTCATGAACTCCTGCTTGCCTCTCAGCCGTGCTTTCTCCTGCAGGATCATGGTTCGAGTTAATTCTGCCTTGAAAATTACTTTGAGAGTCCGATTTCTTTTCTTTGTGAACCATCCGATTCTCCGAAAATTTGCCACCTGGGTCATGTCTCCCTCGCCTATCACCTTCATGATATCTTCAATCGCTTTTTTCTCCTCCTGCTTTCTTTCCTCATAAGTTTCCCCTTTAGCTTCATCTAGCCCATAGACAAAAACTGATCTCTCCCTTTCCACCTCCCACTGTGACTCCCATTGCATCCTCTGAGGTGTGCGTGTGTGTGTGTGTGTGTGTGTGTGTGTGTGTGTGTGTGTGTGTGTGTGTGTGTGTGTGTGTGTGTGTGTGTGTGTGTGTCCCTATTATATATACAGTATTAAAACTGATATTTAAGGTTACTCGCCAATAAAAAAAACTTGCTTACCTTAAAACTGGGAACAGAGGACATGCAGCGACCAACATTATTTACAACCTGAAAAGTCATATAATAAATTATATTAGTTTAGTAACATCAAGAATCAATTCACTGAAAATAATATCAATTTACACAGTCACATGTTCAACTTAAAAATAAAAAAAATTAACATTTACAATTACAGTAATGGCTGTCCCTATAAACACCTAAGGTAGGTATTAGGTTTGTCAGGAAACAGAACAAGTGTTTCCTGATGCGGGTCTTAGTCATGACCCGCAGCTGGAGCTTTTGGTCATCTGACCGAGGACGTCCTTATAAACACCAAAAATAACACAACAGTACTTGTAATTTTTTGGAAAAAATGTAACAGCACATATAATTAAAATCTAAGTTAAAAAAATAATTAGTAACAATGATGATAAAAATAAAAGAAATGAAATCAGACATGACAAACTATAGAAGTATTTAACCGTCTGATATACATAAATCTCTGAAATGTGTATATATAAATAATGTGTATATATAAATAATTATATGTTGAAGTACATCTCGGAACAATTCACAAATAACTTTAAGATAATTTAGACAACTTTAGTGTCCATCCTGAACTTTAAGATAATTTAGACAACTTTAGTGTCCATCCTGAACTTTAAGATAATTTAGACAACTTTAGTGTCCATCCTGAACTTTAAGATAATTTAGACAACTTTAGTGTCCATCCTGAACTAATTATCTACGATGCAGGATGGACCAAAACATTGTCACAAGTTTCCACCCAACAGCCTATATTTGTAAATTGATTTAGCCGTTGAATTATGACATACAGTACACAAATAACCCGCACATTGGAGAGAGGAGTTTAAGACGACGTTTCGGTCTGCCTTGGACCATTTACAATGGCACACAGTGTGACTTTGTAAATGGTCCAAGTCAGACCGAAACGTCATCGAAAGTTCTTCCCTCCTGTGCGTGGGTTATTTGTGTATTATTGATTATGATAATATGGATGTTGTGAATAATTATAGTGCATTGTGTAACGTCTTCGTTAATCAATCTGTGAACCCCAGTTGAAGTTCTTTTAGGGAGATGCACACAATACCATGAAGGAAATGTTCAAGGTGATGGAAGGGTGCCTTGACACCACTAAAGGGCTCTTGATCAAAGAAACTGGAGCTACCCCCTTCCCTTGGATGAAACCTGAACACCTCCAGGCACTCCATGACCCCCTCTCCCACGAATAATGATAATGAAACAAACTGTAATACAACTATAATTAAGGATCAATTCCTAACTCTGTCATTACCCTTCGGACAAGAAAGGTCACTCAGGCTTTCCTACTTAAACTACACACAAGCTGTGTTGGTCTATAATGATTAATGTCCAGTCAGTTGCACTAGGCTGGACAAAACCAGATTACCTACTCTCAAGACTGTACTTGCTAGTACCGTGTAGTATTATGATTCATTTTAATCCTTATTTTAAGAGCTACAGTAACATGGAGTAGCGGTGTATAAGTGTTATGCAACCCTTATGTTCTTGATAAATTTTAAACGTAGTAAACCAGACAGAAAAGATGCGTGCAACTTTCCGTCTGGGTGTCGTCATGCAAGGTCAGTTGCAAGCGCCGTGAACCGAAGGTCGGTAGGTTGGGTAACTAAAAATGAATTGAGTAGTTTTCACACCCTATAATACAATCAGTACGTATGGTATTAATACCATGACCCAGCCATCGTTAATAGAAGACTGTGTTACGATGCCAAGGAACAGTTCATGAGACGGAGCTAAATATAATGGCAAGAGGATAGTGCATGCCAGCTCCCATACAGAGGAAATAGGTAACTGGCACCTCTAGCTATGCCAAGTTATAACTGACGTCACTAAGTTAACTGTCACCACTACTGACGTCACTAAGTTGACTGTCATCACTACTGACGTCACTAAGTTGACTGTCATCACCACTATTGACGTCACCAAGTTAACTGATCACTACTGACGTCACCAAGTTGACTGATCATTACTGACGTCACCAAGTTGACTGATCACTACTGACGTCACCAAGTTGACTGATCACTACTGACGTCACTATGTTGGCTGATCACTTCTGACGTCACCAAGTTGAGTGATCATCACTACTGACGTCACCAAGTTGACTGATCACTACTGATGTCACCAGGTTGGCTGTACATCGCTAATAACTTCAAGTTGGCTATACACCACCAATACTGGTGTCAGGGTCACTGTATTCAACTACCACTGACATCAAGTTTGCGGTACATAATTACAACTTCCGTCAGACTTCTCTGCCCTGTTACTGAAGCGACCAAGTTAATTCTTACCACAACATTTCCAACACACTGCCATTACTGACTACCAAGCTGGCTGAACCACCCCTGCTAAAATAAGCAAGAGAAGATTAAAGCAGAAGTACCAGGAGCTAGACTTCACCCCCAATTCCAAAAAAAAAAAAAATATTAAATTACTCTCAGAGTTCGACCCACATAATCTAGATTTGCAGTATGTACTTAAGAGTAAGAACTACGTCTATTAAAAACGGTTAAAACCATAACCATATTTTTAAAGGAGTAGAGTGGTAAGCCAGTGGAAGGCCTCGGTCAGATGACTAAAAGCTCCAGCTGCAAGTCATCATATAACTAAGACCCGCGTCAGGAAACACCTGTCCTGTTTCCTGACAAATCTTACCTAACCTAACCTGCATCTACTGTTGATGTCAAGCTGCAAAACAACGAAAAACACTATATAATGAACACATGTCTCGTGCTTAGGTTGGCAACGCTCTCGCCTCACACACAGTGTACGTGGTTCAATCTCCGGCATGGATAGAAACGTTGAGCGTGTTTTCTGACACCTGCTGCCCTTGTTCACCCAGGAGTAAGCAGGTACCTGGGTGTTAGTTCGACTGGTGTGGGTCACATCCTGAGGGACAAGACTGAAGGTTCACGATGGAAAAATATACAAGTCCTCGATGACGCACTGACTTTCTTGGGCTATCCTGGGTGGCTGACCCTCCAGGTTAAAAATTCGAACAAATCTTGTCTTTATGTTAAGAAGACAACGTTTCGCTTCTTTACTAGCGTTTTTAAGTGTATGGAGAATACATGGGACACTTGGGAATATAATAAGCTGAGATACCTAAAGTCAGTAACTGACCAGCCGGGCTGTGGCTCGTTGGACTTCGTGTGGCCAGCAGTAACAGCCTAGTTGATCCACAGGGAAGCCTGATCAAGGACTGGGCCGCGGGGGCGTTGACCCCAGGAACACCCTTCATATAGGTAGAGAGGTGTTGGTGGCTTGAGTATGTGAATATACGTAAAGGTCAGGTCAAAAACTTGACCCATCAAGTGGGATTTAACAAGCTGAAATTTCCATTATCTGGGTGTCTGTGTGATGTGTCTGGTGAAACTTCATAATTAACACACAGGTAATATTTAGGTATAGTTAATAATAATATATGTCTACCAGTACATGTACAAGGTATACAGACCATAGCTGACATCAGTGACATACTACTATATAGAAAGACACTTGTTATGCTGAGCATTTCCCGCAAATTAGGTCAGTTTTATCCCAGGATGCGACCCACACCAGTCCACTAACACCCAGGTACCCATTCTGAACTGATGGGTGAACAGGGACAGGGACAACAAGTGTCTTAGGAAAACACGTCCCTAATGTTTTCCAGCCGTACCAGAGGAGATTCGAACCCCTGACCTGAGTGTGTAAGCTGAGTGCGCTAGCCTACACAGTAGGCTTCTTCAAATACAAAGTTAGCAGGTGTAGTAGTGAAATAAAAGACAATGTAATTAGTCCATCAACCTTGGAGAAATATTTGAGGTGGTCAGTCCCTCAGCCTGAAGAATTCACCCCCATGGCCGGGAACGTTTCGGAATAAAGATACCTAACTACTGCACATGTGTCTATAAATCAACCTGTCGGTATTGTATACCATTTTCATATCCAATAAAAAATAATTAAAATTACATGTCGTTAAATTATGGAATATAGTATTTAACGATGAAAAAATTAATAATCAGCCCAGCTAATATTGACACCCCTCAGCAGATGATGCAACATCACCCCAGTGAAAAGCAGAGGTGTCACTAGCACGTTAAGAGACAACACAATAAGTGTCAGGGGCCAGAGACTGTTCAACTACCTCCCAGCATACATAAGGGGGATTACCAATAGACCCCTGGCTGTCTTCAAGCAGGCACTGGACAAGCAACTAAAGTCGGTACCTGACCAGCCGGGCTATGGCTCGTAAGTTGGATTGCGTGCAGCCAGCAGTAACAGCCTGGTTGATCAGGCCCTGATACACCATGAAGCCTGGTCACAGACCGGGCCGCGAGGGCGTTGACTCCCGGAACTGTCTGCAGGTAAACTGCAGGTTAACCCAGTAAGGTTCTGGTGTCTCAGGAAGCTGCATCTCGCTGCTTCATATTGCTCGGCTTTAAAAGGCAAAAACCAGAAGTCTCACCGAACTGTTAATTTTTCTGATAAGATTAAGTAATTAATTTGTTTTGTTAACGTCATTCAAATGAAGATTTTGTTTTTGTGAGCTTCTGAATGCATAATTTTTTTATCACGAAAATACTTGAAAGAATAAAGGCACAATAACGTGACTGGAACAATACACAAATAACCCGCACATAGGAGAATAAAACTTATGACGACGTTTCGGTCCGACTCGGACCATTAAGTAGTCACACAGAAGCGCGAAGGGATCTTGTTCATGTAGGTTTGCTAGAACGGGTCCTGGCCCGGGTCTTCTCTATGTGGTGACCCGGCAGTGGCTCCGGAAGGTGTGTCAGAGTTGGTACAAGTGATGTACCGTTTACAGCCCTATGGCGGGGGCACAGCCAGCATTCATGTCAACTGGTGTACCGTTTACAGTCGTACAGCTAGGGCAGCCCTATGACAAGGTCACGGTGAGTCTTCTACAGCACAGGTGTAGCAGCAGTTAGCTACAATCATCGTCGAAGTCCTACAGCTGGACTACAGCACGTATTGGGTTCAAGTGATGTCAGGGCTGGTGTTCT